TTTGCTATTTTGTGCTGAACATATCTGATATGAGATTTCCAGGAGAATTTGTCATCAACTATGACACCTAGAAATTTAATTTCATATACTCGTTCTATATTAGCTCCCCCAATTTTCAATTGAAATTCATTATCTAGTCTACGATCAGAGTGTATTGTCTGTGCATATCTGAATCACTGCATTGCTATTTGTTTACACCTTAAATTCAAATTGAGGGTGTGAAAATATAAACCATCTCTCATTGTTATATTACTGTGTGGTCATGACCTCAGTACCTACACCCCATTGTTTGTTGTTAAGGCCATTAGTGCTCCCAGGTCATCCCCTTTGCAGTCTTTCACCTCAAACTAAAGACAACTTCACATTGCTATGACACCTATGCATTGCTATGACACCTATGCATCACAGTCTTGGAGTGTGGATTTCATCAGAGGCCAGCAGTTGGTGTTGTTCCTGAGCTATGAGAGGCCATGATGGCACACAGCTAGCAGCAGCCAGGACAGCATTTTGTCCTATTCATCTTAATGACTCGTGTGGGCAGGACAGGAGCAGACACTGAGGAAGGACTTGAAAATGCCTTCCGGTGACCTTCTAGGAGTAACAAATGAAGCATCTCGGATCTGTCACGCTATACTACTGAGAACAGGAGGCTGCCAACTCCAGTAAAGCTGTGAAAAGAAAAGACAGAAGGGGACAGATAGTCTATCAGTCTGATTTTACAGCAACCTTCCAGTACATCAATCCGGCCACTCCCTCATGCTTGAGCCAGATATTACATTTTACTCACGTTTGCCTTTGCAGAAGCACTAATTGAATGCATCCAATATTCAGGCAAAGGCCCACCTACTGTACCAACATGACCTTGGTTAGTGGTTCCTGATAACTCTAGCAAGCAAGACACTTCAGTGAAAGTGGGGCCCTGTGGTTTGCTGTGTCATCACTCCAGAATGATGATGGTCAACCTGCTGGGGGGTTGGGGGGGGACACCACAAACAGGAGGTGTGGAGCTCTGCAGGATTGAAATCTGAGTATGGTGCAGAAATCTGTCAGCCCTTCATACTGACACCCTTATCTAAGTCATCTTCTCACGGTTGGTGATATATGACTAAGGTGACTGTAGTCATTATTCACAGACTGGTCTTCTGTTCCCTGGCATCCCTTCCTCCTGGGTCTGATCAAGTGTGTTGTATTATCCCACAGTAATGATTTATGGACGTGTGTGGAGCTGTAGCATCTGAAGGACGGCTTGTTGCGGCTCCGTTCAAAACAGTGTCATAACCCACATCCATTAGCCATATGGGTTCCATTCCCCAGATTTGCTTGATGCAATTTCTGTCCTCCCACAATAGAGCTGCAGTGCCAGCCGGGGAATCACTTAATTAGATGATTTTTTTTTTTCTTCGCAGGGTTTCTTCATTCTAACAATGGTTAGAATGGTGAAGAATGGTGAATGGTTAGAATAAATGTTGCAATTTAGGATCATTTACAGAACTGGTTATTCTTAATTTTTTTTTTAAATTAAGTGTTTATTCAGTAAAATGTCAGAAAAAGGTGGAAATGCTCATTACAATCTCCCCCAATTTTTTTTTTTTTTATGCTAGAGCCCATTTTGTTAACGTGATATGTCAGAAACGCCTTGAGGGAATTTCTTCAAATTGTGTACAACTTTCCACTTGGGCTCAAGGATGAACTGATTCAATTTTGGTGATCAAAGGTCGAGGTCAGTGACCTCACATGTGTCCCATTCCTGTGAATTTGACTGGTTGGAGGCATACAAATGTGTTATTTCTAGCTTCAACCAACATTTCAAAATGGTGCAGTATTAAATTTATACTGATATAAAACAAGGAAGAATGTCACACTGTTACCAGAGGATGTTTTATATCTTTTTTATTTGTTGAAATTATTATTTGATTAGATTTATTGTTTATTTATCAA